AAACAAATTAGTAGCTAAATTTCAGAAGTACTTTGGGCTTCAGACAGGATTTTACAGCACCAGAAGAGTATGTGATGTTTAAAGAGTCGGCTCACAGGTTAGCTTGGTTCCTCAGCATGGTGCTGTCTGAGTAAACCTCTCTCTGTCTCCTTCCTGTGGCTGCCAGGACAAACTCACCATCCCAGGCTGCTGGTGGCAACAAGTAATCTGCCAACAAAACATTTAACATTTTCTGTTGTATTTATTTTATATCCTAGTTGCAGTGTAAGTATATGGATGGTGTATCATTAAACCTGATAAATGTAACTTTTATAGAAAATGTTTTTCTACATCAGAGGGAACCCTCACACACAGTACCAAACACTGTGCAGCATTTTAGCCAACTTAAAGTTGTTTCAGATGAGTTATTTACTACACTGTGGAATGAGCCGTATACCTAATTGCTGTTGAGAAATGTGGACATGAAGTTATAATTCAGTTCACCTTTCTTTCCCCCATCACCTCTGTGGCTGAGTGACGGCCTTTAATGTCCCCACACTTCGGTCTACACATACATTCTCGGAGCAGAGATATGGAAACTATCAGAGAGAACTTTGGACTTTCCAAGTGCAGAAGGAAGACTTTCTGAAGATGTTTTGTTTCCACTAAATGCTGAGGGAAACTACAGCAGCAGCAGGACACTTCTGTTTGGAACTCACTAACATGCAGTTACTCTAGTTCATCTCTTAACTGCTTAGCTGTGATTGCTAACATTACAACAGAGGCTCTGATTACACCGAACAGAATGGCTAAAACAATAACATGATGGTCTATGGCTCTATTTATAGCATCAATACTGCAAACCTTTTATAATAACATCCTTATCTAGATATAAAGCGCTCTGAACTTCAAATAGCATAAAGCTAATTAAAGCCGCTTACAATACCATCTTCTCTAATAACAGCACAGTGAATGCAGTGTTCATTGTGTGTTCGGGCTGCAGGCTGTAATTTATTCATGCCACATATTTAATACTGAAGACTTTCTAAGTGTGATAAAATGATAAAAAACTCCACAAATACTACTGCTACCAACGGTGATTGTAACACTGATGGTGACAAACTGATAACATTTTCACACAATACCTATACTAATCACTTTTGGCTTTACATGCATGTTGTTTTTTTATTTTCAAATTACAAGTAGAGCTATTACTGTTTTTTTGTTTTTTTTTGCTATCAATTAATCTATCATTCTGACAATTAATTGGATAAAGAATTGGTACATTATGCAGATTTTTCATCAAAGCCTTTCTTATGCAGTCTTAGTAATAATACATTAGAATATGCAAATACAACAATAATTCAATTCCTTTCATAAATTTGAAAATAGACATTTAATTGCCTAAATTTAAATTACAGGATTCCTTTAGTGAATGTGTGATTTGTAACAAAACATGCATCTACAGCCAACACAACACTTCTAACATCAACATGTGAAAAGATCAGTTCTTCTGCTTGACTTAGCATCAATACAGAACTGTAGGACTGATATGGTGATTATATTTTGGATTAGCTGATTAATAAATGAATAACACAAAGTGCTTACTCAGACTTTATTTATTTTGCAGAATTTGAACCAGGTAAAACATCTACCTGTTTTTTTTTGTTGTTGTTGTTTTTATCTTTTTATCCATATTTTCTTTACAGTTTTGGCTTAATTATGGCTTTAAATATATCATTCTTTAGGTAGCTGGCCTTTTTTTGAGTCGGTGCACTCCAGTTAATCTTTCTTCAATTTCTAAATTGGTTGACGATAATTTCAATAATCAATTCATCACGACTAATACGATTAATTATTTCACACCTCTGCAAATACTTTTTCAAAGCGCTGTCTAGGTTATATGTGAAAACATTTGGCTGAAGTTTTTTTCTTTTCTAAACCTGACCCTGAAGTAAAAATTAACACCGACTAGTGTTTAATAAAAGGACATTTTCCATTAGTTTTCTGTGTATTTGCTGTTTAGACTTGGCAACTAAGTTAAAATTGAATTTAGTATTGCAACCAGCTAGACTTTGTTTCATCGAAGGACTTTGAAAACATCTGACCTTATTGTGAACAGTCTTACATTATTTCTTTGTGAATGAAGCAGTTCGTTTGCTGGAGAAAAGATTCATTTGGGCATTAGCACCCAGTTGTTTATGGGGCTTCAACCTGAAGAAACCAGGTAGTGACAGTTATGAGTTTTCTGAACTTCCGGATCAAGTCCTGTTCCTCAAGGCTTCGCAGGATCATCTAAAGTTTTATTCATCTATTTGTCAGTGAGTTTGCTCTTCTGAAAGTTAAGGAAATCATATTCTGATCCAGTATTTTCAGTTGCTCAACATTTGCTTCTCCACTAAAAGACAGATGTGAGATCTCGTGTTGCTGGTTTCCACATGGTACCACATTCCTAAGCGTTTTGTCTGTGGTTGGTTTTTATCGCATTTTTCCTCCTACTTCAGTGTGGCTGGTTTTATTCCTGCCAGACCTTCCCCTACAGCTCTTGTTGAAGAATGCAGGCACGTTTTTGGGTCGCATTATGTTTCAACTGAATTGTTGCCAGTTTTTCAAAACTTCAAACTATGTTGCTAAAGCTTTCCTGGTGGACTGTGGATGATGTGCTCAAGAAATGTGTTTTTTGGAGAAAATATGCACTAGAATGAAGCCTTAGTAAGTCAGATTGCTGCATGTGAAATGTGTCATCCACACAGAGACACAAAGAAAGTCACTTGAAATGCAGTTTCCAGAAGGGAGTCAGAGTGTGAGTCAGAGATCAGACTGCAGGCTAAGATGAGGTCAAAGTGAGGCAAAGGAGAGAAACTGGTAGAAAGAGAAACTGAAGGAGAGATTGTAGGCAAGAGAAGGATGAAAGGCAACTGATGAAGATTGTGGAGTGAGGAAGATGATAGAGAATGGATGGGAACCGTTGGAGGGAATGTGGATGAAGAGGCAGCAGGCAAGTGAGGCAAATCACAAACCAGTTGAAAATGACAAAATGCAGACTTGACTGGTGGGCAGTTCTACCCTGATTGGGAAGGTCATCCCAGATGTGTGTGTTGCCTGTTTGACACACACTCGCACAGATAAAGATAAAATGTTTCTCGCACACAATGTTTCTCGCACGCACACACACACACACACACACACACACACACACACACACACACACACACACACACACACACACACACATGCACACATGCACACATGTGCACACACAGTCATTCAGCATTCTGACAAAAGAACCACTGTATGGTGGGACAGTCACTGCACTTTCAGATCTCTGGGTTGGAGCTCTCCCCTGTGAAGTCTTTCTGAATGTACACACACATACACACAAACACAATTTTCATTAGATCTGAATCGATAAATCGGATGCATTGTGATTAATTAATTACTGAAATAACAGTCAACTAATTTAGTAATTTGATTAAAGAAAGTCAGTAATTAAGACAAAATGGTACAGAAAATATATATTTTTTCATTTATGATGATGATAATAATAATAATAGTTATTATTATTATTATTATTATTATTATTATTATTATACCCTTCTTTGTCTGTAAATTTGTTCTACTCAGAATTCCTCAAATGGCAGTTTTGCTTCACTTGGTTCATATTCTGTTAAATAAATAAAAATCTCCTATTAAGCACCTTTTGCTACTCAATTATAAATTGGTTTATCCAGAAAATAATTAGCAGATCAGCTCTGCTCTGTATTGACAATAAGTCAAGCAGAAAGGGCTTTTCACATGTTGATGTTAGAAATATTTTTTAGCTGCAGATGCATCTTTTTCTTTAGATGATCAAGTGTTCACTTGAGGATTGCTGTTACTGCATTTGAGATAATAAAATGTTTATTTTCTTATTTAAAAAAAGGAATCAAATTGCTTGCATTTTTAATGTATTTTTAATATTGTGTAAAACAAGAGTAAGTGGTTAAATTAATTGATTTGATTAATCAATATGTCATCAGAATAATTAATAGAATAGTCAATTACTAAACTAATCATGCAGTCCCGGTTTGTGTTTCTACCCATATCAGGACTTATTTATTTTAGAAACTGAAGTTATGCTTAATTTATGCTAACCATTACCTGTATATTCCTAACCCTGACCTCAAACATTAATTTGCACCATGCCTATAATCTAACCCTAAATTAGGCGGTTCATTTCACTAAGACTGGGCTTTGGGCACCATGTGACCCCATGTGGCCCCATGAGGCCCCTCTGTCTCCAGAAAGTTTGAGAATATGCCAGAAAAGGTCCAAAATAGGTAACATACATGAGTACACACACACACACACACACACACACACACGCACACGCACACGCACACACACACATACACACTATTACTGAGTTTGACCTGTGCTACCCCCTGCTGGTAAACAAATGCTACAGCACTTTTCCAGAGTAGGATTCAAAGTGAAAATGGTAGTCTATAGTGTGCTGCATCTGTGAAATCAAAATATAGAGATACAACACTGACTTATTTTTATGGTTAAAAAGCTTTTTTGTTTTACTGTCTATATCTGTGAATTGAAATTGAGTCCCCAAAGTGTTCAGCTGTTGTTCTGAACAGGCAGCCTCACTGGAGGAAGATGATTGCTGCAACAAGATCCAGCCCCATTTTTCCCAACAAGTTGACGCATTTAGCACTAATTTCAAGTAAATCCGTGTGCTGTGGAGCTTTCACTTAGCACCAGTTAAGAGTTGTAGAGATTCTGCTTTAGCATGTTTAGCAGACAAGAGGGCATGCATCAGTTTTCTTGTGAAACAAAAGTTATCAGAATGACTTGATACAAACTATCCGTCAGAATGTACCGTGTGTCCGGACTGCCAAAAAAATGTTTCTCTTAAGCTTGTCCTGTAAATGTCACACCTGGCCTGGGAGAATGGTGTCCCATCAGCAACTCAAAGATCATCACCAAATATTTAGTTCTAATCTCTTCCCTCTCTCTGTGTCTTTGTGCAGCTGAACTGGAGTTTGTTCAGATTGTCATCATCATCGTGGTGATGACAGTGATGGTGGTGGTGATCATCTGCCTGCTCAACCACTACAAGCTCTCCACCTGGTCCTTCATAACACGGCAGAGCCAGGCCCGCAGGCACGACCACGCCCTGCAGCAGGTCAGGACCGCTGCTTCTCACTCTACAGCTAACCTGCTGATCTTTACCAGTGGTGGAGAAACTACTCAAAAAATGTACTTAAGTAAAAGTACAAATACACACACAAAAATGTACTCAAGTAAAAGTAAAACTACCACATTAACATTTGTACTTAAGTAAAAGTAAAAGGTACTGGCTTTTAAAAATACTTAGGTATTAAAAGTAAAAGTACTTGCTGAATGCATTACCTAATCCCTAATATAATATCATTAAGTGAACCGATCGTATTTAATTTGAATACATCAGAAATGTGCCATTTTAATGAACAATGCCACAGATAAAGCATGTTTTATTTGTGTTTACTCTGTAACATAGATTAGACTTAGATATGTGATTCGATGATGTGGCTTGGTGATAACAGTGGAAATATGTCCTATTTGATCATTTCAGCGAGGCCTTCAGGGTTAAAATTCATTACAGTACACTAAGAACATGTAAGAAAAACATGGATGGCTTGTTTGGAAGTGTTACCAGGAACAAAATAAAAAAAACTTTTAATTGGTCTTGCACTCAAGTAAATAATGCCTTTAACAATTTCTTTTAGACACAGTAAATCAGTGGAGATGTTTGACAATAATTCACAACAGTGAAAAGAACTATACATAACTTAAGAGCACAAACTACTCTAAATACTGCAGCACAGTGATGGTAGTGGGGTAATGGTTTGGGCCTGTTGAAGATTGACTCACTGGATCATCAGTGATCCCAAACTCAGAAACAAGTCTAAAACAAAATGGCTGAAAATACAAAGAGTCAAGGTGTTGCAGTGGCCTATTTAAAGTCCAGATTGAAATGTTCTTTTGGGGCTTGGTGCAAAGCGAACAAAAATATTAGATCCTTTATAGAAGACACTATCTAAAGGACCACTAAGATAAAATGTTTCTCTATAATCCTCCAAATCATATAGAGAGGAATGTCACTTTGGACAGAATTAGCTTAAGTGAATGTGTAACAGCATTATGACATTCACTTGAGGTCACATTTATTTCATTCCAGTGCTGAATTTGTAAAACGATTCCTCATTCTGAGGACTATTTCCCCCTAGCTGCTGTAGGTTTGGTAGAGTAGAGTCTAGTCTGTGCCGTCGTTTTGATCCAAGCTGATGGTGAGTGAGGCCCTTTTTGTCTGGCTGTCTGCTCATCTGTTCTCACTGAGTGTTCCTGTGCAGTCATTGTGTTAGTACATTTCTGTATTTGTGAAACAGGACAAACATAGCCTTACCAGTATGTTCCCAGTAAAGTACAGTGCAGCTAAATGAATCTTTTTATCCCAGTTAGAGCTTTTGTCCCAGTTTTACACTGGTAGCAGCTTTGCTGCAGTCTGTTAAGTGAATTTGCTGAATTGGTTTGGGTGGAACCGGTCTCTATATTGTTTTTTAACAACACAGCTGTGAAATATTGGCAGCCAAACATTCTCCAGTTCAAACTGGCTCAGCTGAATCAACTGGGCTACAGCATTCTCATTAGCTTGGGTTGTGATGTGGAGATATTAGCTCTGTTTCAAACCTGCAGAGCATTTTCAAAGTGGGGATGTGTAAAGAAAAAAAGGAAACCAAAAGTTTACATACATCTTTTTTTCTGACTGAAGTTAGATCAGATTAAATGTATCTGGTTTAATTCAGGACTGATTTGAACATAAAAAACATAGGCAGAAGTCAAAGTCAGGTCAAAGTTTATGTTATAGAGCGCACTTACAACTACATAAGTTGACCAAAGTGCTGCACAAGTCATAAATCATCAGTAGTATACAATTTGCATAGTATTTGCTCAGAAAATCTAACAGCTGTCAACAGCTAAACGTTCAAGCTCCTGATCGGTGAGCCAGCAGCTTGACCTGTGTTGTTTTCCTGTCTTTAGGATGGCTGTCTCTGGCCTTCAGACAGCGGATCCCGACAAGGTGCCTCAGAGGTAAGACCACCACTCTGGTCGTCATGTTAGACACAGTGCTGACTCCTGCACATCATGAGCATGACTCAAATGTTACATTGAAAAATAGAATATTTCATAAAATATCTATTTCAAAAACAAGAAGTTGTCTTGAAATAACTTTAACATGTTTCTTGTCATAACGTTTTGAGGAAAACTCATTTCAGCTCTGTATTTGCCAGGTTAGTTTGGGGAATGCATGGAAGGTCAAATAATTGCAATGGTTATTTTTTTGTTTTTTATTTTTTAAATCTTGCAAAAATGTCAGAATAAAACAAAAGTTGTAATACATGTATATATGTAGAGTTTTTCTCTTTTTCCAAAATCAAAAGCACAACATACAAAATAAGGAGAAAAAAGACAACAAGACATCACCTCTACTTGGAAGAAAATCAATAATCTTCAGACACTTCATTGTTCCATATGAATTATGTTCCATGACACAATTATGTATCAATTATTGACATAATGGCCCCACATACATACTGCATACACACTCCCCCTCGCCTTTGGGGGCGTTGCACCACGAACCACTGAAGAAAACAACAGAAACATCTGAAGAAGACACTGAGCGCTACTTCATTCATTACAAAGGCTAAACAAAAATGGAGTGATGTCAGATTCTCTCTTTTGTCTTTGGCAAAAGACATTTCTCCCTCTACTGTTAGACTTGTGCGTTTATTTTGGCGTTCCTCTAAATTAGGTTTTGGTACTAATATTAATGACAACCGAGTTTTGGTCTTTGTTAATCCAGTCAGGATCGTTCAGGTAAGCATTTGGATTGATCAAAAAACAGATTTTGTCCCCCACCCCTAGTTGGTTGTGCTTTAGAATAAAACTGCTGTGAAACAGCCAAACATTAACATGTCTGATCAAATGGTTCCTTTTAAATGCTTTAATCTCACTACCAGGGAATCTGTTTGCAACTTCAAGGTAGACACATGCAGTAGATGTATGAAGAAATGTGCTCTAGATGTACTCCAATGGAACCTGTAAATGTCGAGCATTACAACAACAACTGCAAGGTTGAGTGTTTTTATTTATGCCTTGAACTTAATCGCTTCAAAGTACATTCAGCGATTAACACCGACACTGAAGTGCTGATGTTCACGCTCAATATTCTCAGAGCTCTGACTCCCTGTTTAATTCTGGAACTGTGTCGGCCACCACACCTAAGAGTAATGTCTCTCAGCTGATTAACGGCAGATGAATGACTCAGTTTGAAAGATGTACTCAAACAATAACTTTGAGTTATTGTTTGAGTACATTAGTACTCAAACAATGTACATATATTGTTTACATATATACATATAGTACTATATATACTCTTTAAAACACTGCAAGTGTTTTAAAGAGCTATAGTGGCAATTACATGCAAGATGACTGGAACTGAAAGTAGAAAACAAACATAAGATGTTTGAGTCTCACCGTCTGCCCACCAGCTTCCCTGGGCCAGTTAACTAATCCTCATCATCAAAGTGGAAAAAAGTAATCCGTTCGTTCCGACACCTTATATCGTCAGCCTCACAACATAATTCACCAAGTCATATTTTGACCAAAATGAAATATTCGTCATATTGATCTTACACGTCTACATCACCCTGCCTGTCTGTCTTCAGCCAATCAGAACAGTCATTACAGTCCAAAATCTGTTTTTTTTCCATATTCATGTTTTTTTTTCTTTTTTTTTCAAATAATCAATATCTTGATATAATCAATACTAGAAAAATGAATTATTTAAAGACTAATTTCCATGAAAATTGACACAAACTGACCCATTCACATTTTCCCAAATTTCTGCATTTCATTTTGCAGCAACACTGCAATATCAGACATGTTCACAAAGCAGCCAATCAAGGACTTCAGTTTAGTTTCCTTGGTGCTTATTGGCTGAAACCCCAAGAATGAATTAAGGAAGACTGTTGTTGTTGGCTCTGCTGTAAGATTAAAATGATTTCCAACATATGTATTAAAGCATACTCAGGAATATTTGTTGTGTGAACTATTAAAACATGAAATTATGAGAATTTTTAGAGGGATTCTCAAGTATCAACGGATTTTAGACTTTTTGCAGGTGGCTGTGGTCCCCAACCCCCGCAAATACCAGGTGCCCAATGTAGTATACTTAAAAGCAAATCTGAAACTGCTCCAGTGGGTCTGTTATCTAATCAGAATGCTTTTGTTCAGCAAATCTTCTCAGTATCTGCTCTCAGCTCTTTATTTTGTTTCCTTGCCGACTTTTCTTGGCTCGCGGCCTTCTGTAAATGTTCAACGCTCACAGGAATACAGTTGAGGTACAAGGAGCCTGACATTTGCATTCTGGCTGCTTGTAAATATTTGATCGTCCAGGAATGGAGCTCATATGCCACACCGGGCAAGCCTGGCACCGTACATCAGACATGATCAAAGCTGGCATGTTCTCAAGGATTCATGGGTACAGATATGTAAACTAATACCAGCATACTTGCCATGACTGGTTAACTTAATGATTGTTTGCCTGGTGAAAGAGTTTGAGTCCAGGTGAGAAGAGGGAGTTGGAGAGGTAAAAAGAGAAACACGTGACGCATAGTGTCATTGGAGCGATGAGTTAAAATGGTCCTAATGTGCTTCCACATACACATCAGATCTAAAGCTGCAGCTCTCCCTCAGTGAGAACCTTAGAGGAAAGACACAAGAAACGAGAATGGGAAGTGACAGGAAGTGGGGTTTGAGAGAAACCAGTGGCTGAAGAGGAAGAGAGTGACGGTAGGTGGAAACAGTGTTGGTGCTGAAGCAGCTGGAGAGGAAAAGGCCATGCAGAGACAAACACAGAGGGAGACACAGCCAGTGAGTGTGGGTGGCTGGTAGATGCAGGGATGCTGTCTGAATCTGTGTGTGTGTGTGTGTGTGTGTGTTTGTGTGTGTGGCAGTTTGGGCTGAGGAGGGGATGGGGTGGGGGCAGTGGATTCTGGTGCGTCATTAATCAGCAACACCTCCCCTGACACTGTCTAGACAGCCGTCTGAGAGCTGCCCTGCTCCGCTGCGCTCTGCTCCCTCCATCAGCTCTACACCTTTCTCCCCCCTCTGTCTTTCTATCTTTCCGTCTCCACTTTCTCTTCTGTTTTTTTTTTTTTTTCCTGTCTGGCCCTCTCCATGGCTCTTTTTATTCCCTTCTCCTTTCTCTCCATCCTTATCTCAGCAGCCTTTCTTTTTAAATCCTTTCAGATTGACTCTTTCTGTGCTTCAGTCAGTCTCTCCATTTCAGCTGCCCAGATCCTCTCTCCCCTTCTCTCCCCCAGCTTCTGTTTCCAAGCCTATTGTTCTCTTCACCCAGACCGCTTTGTCAGTGGGGGTTGATGATTAGAGACACAGTCCCTAATTGAAATAAGTTCCCTCTGATAATGAGTTGCTGCAGCAGCAGGGAGTGGGGCTGGATAGAAATGTTAGATATGAACACATGGATCATGACGTTCCAGTCTGAGGAGTTAATTGAAGTGAAGAACAAAAGCTGGCAGATAAACTAATTTGTGATGGTTGTCCTGTTTGAGTGAGGGATTTCCTTCCTCTCCTGTAATCAAGCTAAAACATCTGTAACCACTAACTGGTAGCTCACTGGTCTGTGTGGAGGTACATCACGATGATCCACCATCGTTTACATCAAAGCCATTGAGCCTGCATCTGTATTTAAGCAGTTAACAAAAATAAGACAAAAAATGATCTTGAGAGGCTGAGCTATAAAATAGCACCATTATCTCAGCCAGTAATATATTTGGCAGTGTTTGTTGTTTTGCTGCTAGAAGTGTTTTGGGACTTTAAAGAAATTCTATAACAAAGCACTAAATGATACTTTTTGAATAAAACCATGTTGAGACAGACCTAATGGATTTATTTCCTTGGATGTTGTTCTCATGATGAGTTCTCATTGTCTGGACTCTGTTTGCAATGAATAAAAAAAGTAAAAAGTATTTACCATTTTTTAGTGTAGTAGTTGTGCTTTTTTTTTAATCACAGACCTTCATTGCGACATACACTTACTTTATTGCAGTGGACCACCGGAATTTGTGGGGCTTAGGGACCGCAGCCACCCGCAAACAGCTAAAATCCACAAATATTTGAGACCTCCTCTAAAATTGTTCAGAACTTCCTGTCTGTATAGTTTAAACTCCAAATTGACAAAAATGTGTATTATACGCACAATGAAACCCTTAACACCACTGCATGAACTAACATCCACAGTCTTTATTTCTGCTTGGGGATAGAGCCAAAGGATGTCAAAAAGATGATTGGCGCTCCTGGATTATCTGCTTCCGAAGCTGAATTTTCTATCATATATTTCAGATATGCTCTACCAAATAAATCAGTGAACTAACTTATTTTCTGCAAATAATTTGATAACACATTCCAAAGAAAAGTTGAGGGGGTCTCCGTCAATATGCATGGGGTCAGCTGTATTGCTTCCCCCCCGAATTGTAAAGCCTGGGATTTGATTTATGACTTTAAATTTTCTGATTTACAGTCATAAAGCAAATCTGACCCTGACATTTATAGAGCGTTGAGTATGCTGCCCTGGAAGAAAGAATTCAGAAAGACAGAACATTTGCTCTGTTGTCAACCAACAATAGGAATAGCAGTCCAACAGGATGAGGTTCATTTTGCCTAGACCTCTCTGATTGTTAGTCAAGCTTGCATAACTGACTTACTTCCCTCACTGACCTCTGAAATGTGATACTCTTATACCTTTGACAACTACTTTTTTTTTTTTTTTTTAACCAATAGTATTCATGGTCAGCAAGCAGATCCTGCTGGAGGCCGGGAACTTTGGTTTGTGATGTCACGTTTCAATGTGTCTAAACAAACAAAAGTTCCTTTGGTCATTTATAGATTCTTGTTTTAGAGGTTCTGAATGAGTAAAACTCAGACATTTGAGTTAATTTCTTTGTATGTTTTTTGCTTGTTTTTATGTTATTGGTGTCCCTCCTCCTCTTAATGCTTTGTTTTCCTTGTATGTTTCTCTCTGATCCAGGTATTATACGCTCCCCAGGCCAGGGATCGCTTCACCGCTCCCTCCTTCATGCAGCGCGACCGCTTCAGCCGCTTCCAGCCCACCTACCCCTACATGCAGCACCAGATCGACCTGCCGCCCACCATATCGTTGTCAGACGGCGAGGAGCCCCCGCCGTACCAGGGGCCCTGCACGCTGCAGCTCCGCGACCCTGAGCAGCAAATGGAGCTGAACCGGGAGTCAGTGAGGGCGCCGCCCAACCGGACCATCTACGACAGTGACTTGATCGACATAGGGAACGGCGGCGGCCTGGTCGGGGCCGGGGGAGGTGGGGGAGGCCTGGGAGGAGGGGGCCCAAGGCCACCCAGCAGTAACTCTGGCATCAGCGTGGCTAACTCCTGCAGCCACGGGCGCATGGAGGGGCCCCCGCCGGCATACAGTGAGGTGATGGGCCATTTCCCAGGCTCCACGTTCTTTTTACACCAGCACAGCAATAACCAGAGAATAGGGAGACCGGAGGATCCGGGGGGACTGGGGAGCAGGACGATCCAGCAGCAGGGCCAATCAGAAAGCACAATAGTACCTGCCAAGGCCAAGGATGGCCAACCAGAGGACCTGGTGTGAGGAAAGGGGGAGTGGGGCAGGCGGGGGCCAAGCACCCCGGACTCAGCACCGTCTCCTATGTTTACGGCTGACATGGAAGTATCGGCCTCTGTATCGCTCTGTCGCTCTCATGTCCTCTCTCCACACTCCCACGCACAAACAAATCTCGACCCGAGCTACAGCAAAACAAGGAAGGAGAAACCCAGAGTTGATTTCATTTCACTTTCTATCCAGCCGGCACCGCTGGGGAATTTTTATTTCCTCCTTCTCTTGGAGAGAGAGAGAAAAACTCTAGCTAGCACAGCCTTTGGGTTTTTTGCATTCTATGAAATCTCTACCATGGGGATTGAGGAGAAAGTTCCTTTTTTCTTTTGTCTTTTTGATTTGCTTTTCGGACCGGGATCTGTGCACAACGCGAGAACTGAGAACCCAGGACATACAGAGAACACAACAAAAAACAAAACTAAAGACTCACAAACCCAAATCTTAGTGCCAAGGTTCACAAGGAAGCAAAGCAAAGAGGGCAAATAACATCTTCTAACATTCACAACACAACAAAAAGAAAAGTTCCCTAAAAGTTGCACTATCTCTTTTGTCGTAAGAGAGGAGGGACATGATGTCATGTGATGCTGATGTTTGTGTTTTCATTTTATTTTTGTTGCAGGGTTACTCTTTGCTTTTTGTTGTTTTTTTGTTTTTTTTAGTCAAGGGTTTCTTTTCAAAGATGGACTGACTGAATGACTGACTGAAGACTCGCTCCAAAGTTGTCAAAAAAGAAAAACAAACTGAAAAAAACGAGAAAAAAATTGAACAAAAACTAACAAGTATAAGCTTATCTCCATCCTTTTCTGAAAAGCGCAAGAAATCCTTGAACCCAGCCTAAAACATCTGTTCACACAACAGGCACACTGAAACTTAGTAAGAGAATAACCGTGTACTGCTTTACGTCTGCTTCCTAATCGGGGAGAGAAATCTGTCTTGTGACCAAGCAGTGATGCTTCTTAAAGTCAGACATTGAACTGACTAACAATTTAAGCCAAGCTTAAAGGGGCAGTATTATGTATAATCGAGCTTTACATCATGCTGTAATGTTATTCCCTCACCAAAACCATACCTGGATTGTTGCCTTGATTCTTTCATATATGTTTAAGAAATTCTTTAATCTCCATGGCAACCATTAAGCTAGTCAAATTTCCAGGGTTGACCTAGCTCTGCCTTCAAGGACAAAGCTCTCCCCAGTTTCAGAGGTTCCGCCTCACAGAGCAGCCGATTCCCCAACTCGGCTCCTTCAGACTAGCCATCAGCAGTTAGCAAACATTTTGTAGAACTGCATATTTCCTGAGTTCATTATTGGTAAAAACTTTGTTAAAGGGTTAATAGATGAGCCATGGTGTGATGACTTCCTGAAGGTGGAGTTTCAGAAAGGGCAGGAGTTTTTAAAGAGACAAAGGCCCAATTTCAAGGTGTTAAGTTAAAAAAGTCAAATTTCTTTTAAGTCATATTTGATATGTACAACAATTTTATAGGAACTGAAGGTAACATAGTTACTGGATTGTGCTATAAAATGGCACTGAAAAACACACAATACCGCCCTTTTAAAATTGTGTTTCAACTCCATGGGTAACATCGTGTGTTAGGTTTTATTTGGCGTCTTGGTCAAAAGAGGTTCTTCTCTCCAAACCTGTCCTGTTCTCTGAGCACCTGACCCTTTTCTTTGTCGACCCACACAGTGCATTCTGCCACACGGATCTCAGAACCCTCCCGCAGTTCTGCCAACCAATAGAAGGCTCAACGCTCCGTCTTCACATCAGCAACGACCCACATATACACAACAAAAAGATCAAGTAAAGATCGCTTAAATAAGGATTCCACAAAAAAAACTGACTGTGGTTGAAGTCAAAGGGCTACCAGAGGGTCCTTTTTGATAAACTAGAAAATCTAGCCTTTTTTTCACCTCATTGTTGCCTTCAATCTCTGCTGTTGCGCTTGCTCTATCTCACTTCAGCACATTTCAGTGCACCTTCTTCCCCCTCCACTTCCGCCCTGCAAAGATAAACTGCTCATCGACCATCCTGCCATTTGTGTGCAAAGATGATGCAGAGTCAGCCAAGCCCTTTAAAGCTGAGACTGGAGTGGAGTCGTCGTTTGGCAGCATGCTGATGCAGTCTCCTCCTTGCAGTACGAGTGTGTCAGCGTGTTCGTTGCTCAGACCCTAGGCAACACTGAAAAGCACTTAAAGCTCCTGCATGGGTATGGTATGTGTGCATGTGCGTACAGCTGAGTGATTTCTGATCTGACTGCTTGGGAGTTTTAAACATTTAACTACATGTTTGTTTGTTTTCTTCTGTTTGAATTCAGAAAAGCACTTCTTAAAAACCCAGGAATGGTCGAGGGTCAGTAGCCAAAGAGACGCAACAGGTTCCAGTAACATTCACAAAGTTAGCTTCAGATTCAGTTTCAAGCTCCGGCAAGGTGTCAACAAATCTCATGACAAATTTATTTTCTGACCATTCCAACCCACTCAGATCTGGTGGAAATAAATTCAGATTTGCAGCGACAGAGAAGACATGACTCACGAGATCAAATACCAGTTCTCAGATCACGTCATATTTATCTAATTTGCTCAATCTAGTATCACACAAGCTGCGTTTCCATTGACCATAAAAAATGCGCAAATTGAAATTATGTAAATAAATTCTCATAATGGAAACACTAATTCTGAAAAAACTCAGGTTTTTCAATAAAAAGTTTTAGCGCTAGGATGAAGTGGTTTTTCAACCGTATCAGAATATATGTATTTTACAAAACTGTAATAGAAGTAGTTTTTTTCACATCACACAAGTCACGTTATCAACAGCCTGATGTTACTACTGGTGGAAATGACAAATAAGCTATTCTTGCTTCTCTTTGCATACATGTTTCTATCTAACAGTAGGGAACATTGTGGAACATCAGTATTATTCTATACATTTTTGGTGTCACTTTTGATACATCCCTATTTAAAATAATGTATGCAGATTGGGCTATATGGCGTGCATTACAGTGTTTCTTCTTTTTTGACAGATTAGGCTACTTTTATCTTGACATCGCATTTTATTGTTTTCCATTCCTACAAGTGAGTGATTCATGCTGCTGGCAAACTTAGTTGTTTTCATTCAACCAAGAAGGGGAGAGGGCCAAAAAACTGAGTTTAAATGGCTCAGACAAAAAGATTAAACAGAACACATCAAGACAGTGTGTGCCCCCCCCCCCCTGCTCTGAATGAAGGAAATGTTAGTGGATCTCTGCATGTTTCTACCTACAAACATTTGGCAAACTCAGCTGTTTTGAATCACTAGAAAAATCTCTGTTGGCATTACCGCAATCAAATCATCTTAGAATTTCTCGTCTGGTGTTATTGACCAGTTAATAGTATTACTTCCAGTTAGAAGAAACGGTAACACTTTATTTGAAGGGGGATGAATAAGACTGTCATGACACTGTCATAAAGATGACAGATAAAGATGACCTGTCATGAACATGAATAAGCCTTCATGAATATTTATGACTGTTGTCATAAAGTGTCATTCGGTAAATTATGACACTTTTAATACAAAGTTGACATTATTCAAAATGTATTTGTTATGACAACTTGACATTAACCAAGAAATCATTACTGTTTAAACTTTACCTTTAATAACATAAAGATACCTAATTTTTAAAGTGCAATCAGTAATACTTTTATAACAAATTTATATCAGTAATGAGAACCAGACTTTTGACTACGACTTCTTTTTTTTTTACCAACTAGAACTTTGTGCTTGAGATCTGTTGGACGGGTCGGAGAATATGGAATATAAAGAGGCTAAATGAATTTTGACACTGTTTAACCCCCAACATTGATTTGGGTTGGGTAGAGATGGAACAGACACATTTCCAGGTGCAGTGACGCCTTAACTTCCCTGGAGTTCAGCCAAGGGCTGCTGCCTCTTGATGCAGTCTCTTTACAGTTTAGTGCGACTTGAGCAGTACAGATGCAGTGAGAGTGAATTAGAAATATCAAACTAAAACAGAAAATGTGCCTGGAAGTCCACTTGTTCCTCCACATTGTGTTTTTTAACCCTCCCATGGTCTTAGCACGATGCTCAGGAGGACCGCGGCAGATGACACGGTCGGACAGTGGAGAAGCTGTCAGACCGTCAGTTCCCAAAACCACACACAGAAAAAAAAACTTGTAAAAGTGCGAAAAGCTTGTGGGGTTCAAATGGCCCCGTCTCTTAAGACCGCAGGAAGGTTAAGCTAAAGCTAGATTTTCAGTTCTGACATCACAAAGAGGGACGTTTGGCTCACTTTGGGCTAAAGCGCCTGAATCCCTTCTACTTCAGTGAGTTTGAATGTATGTATGCAGATATCTGGCTTGCGTCTTTCTGCTTGTGTGTCCGTGTGTGTGTGTGTGTGTGTGTGTGTGTGTGTGCGCTACTACATCGCTGCTGCTATTGCTGTTGCTGCTACCACTGTCTTTGCTACTGCTGCTTCTCACACCCGTCCCTCAGCCAGCCTTCCCCTGTCTTGTCCATCCTGTCCTCCTCCACTCATCCTAAGCTTAGGAGAGAAAGCTGCAGTGAACTCCACAGGTACCTGGGACTCCTGGTACTTTTGGTCTTTAGCTGCAGGGAGCTGCTTCACACTCAAATCTCTTCTATGGTTTTCTTCTTTTCTTCTCCTTCCTGCCCTCCTTTTTTTCTTTTTTTTAGCTTGTTCGTACTGCGCAGTCATAAGCTTGTAAATGGAGGATAAATAAGATAAATTTTATGTTTTCTACAAGGAGGTTTGCATGTTACTAATATATGAGTAAATACGGTGCCTAATGTTCATGTTTGAGCAGACCACGCCTCTGTCACACTGCTTCTCGGAATCCAGGCAGGCGCCGTCTCTGGTCTGCTGGAGTACAGCTGAGGTGTTCAATGTCCTTCCAGAGTAATCTATTTCTGGGCAATCAAAAGCTTTCTGAACTGAATCTGATCCCAAATTTCATCTCAAAAAGTCCAGATATCAATCGAGCTCTTGCCCCCTCCACCCCCCAGTTCCCACCTGAAAGCACCCAAAGGTATTCTGAGCAGCACTGTAACGGGACTGTGGAGCAGACATAGGAACCCACTTGCACTCAAAAAGCTCCCACCTTCGTTGTGCCTCTCTTCCAACGGTGCTTTTTTCAGTAGTCTGTCTTTCTTTATGTTTGTTTGTAAGGTGCTGTATATAACTTGAATATATTATGCACATATCCTACCCAATGGGTAGAAACCACAAAAAAGATGTTGTGAATAATGTAATATACTGTATAGACAATATAAAAATTTTAAGAGGGCAACATCGAATTTGTAAATGCCTACAGTTAAAAATGTGCTTTGTCTTTTTTTTTTCATAAGAAAACATGTTTTTCAAAGTATGCTCAGAATATATGGTTGCAACACAAATTTACAACTTCTGATATTTTCTTATTAATAATAGTCTGTTATGATATGGCTGAGCTGAGCTTCAGTAGCTGGTTGATGGGTTTCCTCTGTCGCAGCGTCAGCCGTCACTCAGAACCCGAACACCAGGTGTCGGGTTCATCCCAACCAACGAACAGATGGAATGTTCTATCAAAATGATCTTTTAGTATCACAGATGACTCTATTGGACATTAAGAATATGTACAAATGTTTGAACTAAATCCAGATTTACTTCCAGCAGCTCAGTAAACATGAACAAATGCAACCTTTGCATTTTAGAGCATTTATTCAGTGGGAAAAATGC